CGAGGCCGGCTCGGGGCGCGGGCCCTTCCTGCCTGATCCGTGCGCGTGAAGCGCGATGCTCTTAAACAGAAGGCGCGTCTTGAACGGTGTGAATTGTGCGGGCTTACGGCTTTCTGCGAGCCTCTTAACTAACCCGGTGGTACCGTCTCCGGGACAAGTTTATAGCAGGAATGTGTACTCTGGGCAATTCCGTATTACAAGCAGATGCCGAATGGTTTTTCAGCCCTTTTTGGGGTCAGTCCTCTTAAATGTAAATGCATTTGGTGGCATTGGAAGCAATAACAGCGGAGCAGATTGTGACTTTTTTCATCTTGTTAACTTCTATAGGGTGGTCCTGATTTGGATAATTTTTATTTCTCTCTTTTTTCATAGTCTAGCTAAAGGTTCACCAATTTTGTGATCTTTTTGAAGAACCAGTTTTTGTTCTATTGGGTTATTGCTGTTGATTTTCTGATGAGTCGGTCGCTAAGCATGATGTTCCCTGTTAGGTGAATGGGTCTCTCTCACTGTTTTCAAGATGTTCGCTTTGTCTCTGGTTTTCAGCAGTTTGGCTGTGATGTATCTAGGTGTGGATGTCTTTGTGTTTATCCTCATTGGGATTTATTGAGCTTCTTGAATCTGTGGATTATTTTCCAGTAAATTTGGAAAGTTTGGGGCCATTATTTCTTCAAATATATTTGCTGCCTCTGTCTCTCCTCTCTTTCTGGGAATCTTATTGTTGGTACTATTTAGTTTAACCCACGGGTTTTTGAGGCTCTGTTTATCTTCAGTCTTTTTTCTCTTTCATATTGGTCGTTTTCTATTTATCTTTAGATTCATTGATTCTTCTGCCATCTTAAATCTGCTGTTGAGTCTATCTAGTAGATTTTTCATTTCAGCTATATATTTTTTTACTCTAAAATTTCCATTTTGTTCTTTTTTATACTTTTTCTATTGAGATACCCTATATTTTTAGTCATTGTCATATTGTCCTTTATTTAAATTGTAATTATTATTTTAATCCTCACCTGAGGATATATTTTTTCCTTTGCTTTTCAAGCTTTTCAGAGAGAAGAGAGAGAGAAAAAGAAACTGATGTAAGAGAAACACATCAGTTGGTCGCCTCCTGCATGTGGCCCAACCAGGGCCAGGGATCGAGCCTGAAACCGAGGTACATGCCCTTGACCAGACTTGAACCCAAGACCCTTCAGTCCATGGGTTGACGCTCTCACCACTGAGTAAAACCGGCTAAGGCTGCCTTAATTATTTGAACATATTTATAATAGCTGCTGCTTTGAGGTCTTTGCCAGCTAAATCCAGCATCTGGATCTACTCATGATCCATTTTAATTAATTTTTTTCCTGAATATTGGTCACACTTTCCTTTTCCTTAGCATGTATTATAATTTTTTAATTGAAAACTGGACATTTTAGATAATGTATTATAGCAGTTCTGGATTCTGGTTTTATTCCCTGGGGTTTTTCTTATGGGTAGGTTTTTGTTTTTACAACCTATCTTTTCACAAGTGTGTGGTTGTCGATATCTCTTTTCAGTACTTTTTACTGTTTTTTAGCCTGGCTTTCTAGATATCACCACTGTCTGCATAGCTTAGTGGTCAATAATCTGGGCCCCATGGCACTTAAACATGTTTAGCCATAAGGGTTTCACCCTCTTCCAGTACATCAGTGTGGGGGTTGGGAAGTGCATTCAAAATTCAGTTCTCCAGGTCCCCTCGAACAAGAGAAACAAAATTAAAAATAAACAAATGAGACTATGTAAAAAAAAAAAAAAAAAAGCAACCTACTAACTGGGAGAATATATTCACAAATTATATAACCAATACGGGATTGATTTCCAAAATATATGAGAAATTCATACAACTCAATAACAAAGAAATAATCTGATCAAAAAATGGGCAGAGGACATGCAACGACATTTCCCCAAAGAAGACATACAGATGGCCAACAGACCTATGAAAAAACACTCAACAGCACTAATCATTAGGGAAATGCAAACCAAAACCACAATGAGATTCCATCTCACACCAGTCAGAACGGTTCTTATCACAAAGTGAACAAATAACATGTTGGCAAGGATGTGAAGAAAAGTGAACTCTTATGTACTGTTGGTGGGACTGCAAACTGGTGCAGCCCCTATGGAAAAAGTTTGGAGATTCTGCAGAAAACTAAAAATAGAGAGTGGGGCAAAAGTAGGTTTACAGTTGTAAGAGACAGAGCTTATTCTTGTAGTTTTATTAATTATTGTATTATTTTCCATGCAAACAATGACTTAGCAATTCCACTTTGGGTATTTATCCAAAGAAAATGAGAACACTAATTCAAATAGCTATATGCACCCCTGTGTTTGTTGCAGTATTAATTACAGTAGCCAAGATGTGGAAGCAACCTAAGTGCCTATCGATAGACGAATGGATAAGGGAAATATGATGTATATACACAGTGGAATATTATGCAGCAATAAAAAATAGTGAAATCTTGCCATTTGCAACAACATGAATGGATCTAGAGGATATTATCTAAGTGAAATAAGTCAGGCAGAAAAGACAAATGCCATATGGTTTCGCTTATAAATGGAATCTAAAAACAAAGCAAGCAAACAAAACAAAAATTCAAGAAGCAGGGACCAAAGGGATGGCTGTCAAAAGTGGGGGGCTGGGGAGATGAGTGAAGAGGAATTTAGTCAATAATATTTTAATAAGTTTCCATTGTGACAGATGATCACTAGAATTAGTGGGACGATCACATTGTAAGGTATAGAAATGTCTAATCACTATATTGTACACCTGAAGCTAAAGTAACCAATATAAGATTACATACCAACTATACTTAAATTTTTTAAAAATTCAGTTCTCAAATCTGTCTCAGCTTCAGCTTTCCTCTAGGCCTTCTCAGGGTTTCCCATACATCCCCATAATTAATAGAGCTTTCCAAACATAATCTGTGATGGGTTTGCCATGTGTTACTTGAGTGTTCATGCTTGAGTTTTCTCCCTTTAATATGTTGGAGAATAGAATCTACTAAAAAAGTAACACTGTATGTTAGTAGTAGTCATTTACCCAGGTAGACACTTTTTCCAGTTGTGCATTTTTATGGTGGCAAGTGAGAGTCCATGCTTGCTTTCTTCATTGAGCTAATCTGTGGATAGGAAAGACTGAATATTGGTGAAGTAAAAAAGAAAGAAAGATGCTCCTTTGAAAGATGAGAAATTTTTAAGTGGTCACCTCTTTATTTGACATTTTATTAATACCAATACCTGGGTAGAGTGGTTCTTCAAATTGTGTATTCTTTTGAATTAACTGAGAAAGCAGTATAATATAGTGATTAAAATTGTGATCTTTGAAATGTGACTGCCTAGGTTCTAATTCCACACTAATATCACTGTGCCTCAGTTTCCTCGTCTGTCTACTTGGATAAAAATAACACCTACTTCATGAAATATTTGTAGATATATGTAATTTGCATAGAACAATATTAAGTTCTACCTGTTATTATTACAATTAGAGTGTATTAACAAGGTTCTACTGAGTAAAATGAGGTGGGACTTTTAAGACTAATTAGAATTTTTATATTTTCAATTCTTTGACTGATTTATGTAATTATCCTGGCCTTATTTGTTATTTTACATATCTAGTCACCACAAAATTCACAAATGCGTGATGCAAGACAGAAAAACTAAACCCAGTATTCCCATAGAAATCACTGTGGATACAAAAGCATACATGAAGAATTAGAGAAATCCACCTTCTTTTTTGTGTTTTAGTTTTATTTTCTTTGGGAGCTAAGAATTTAAGGATCTGTTCCTTCATACACACAAAAGCTAAGCACAATAAATAATGCTCTGAAAAGACTTGTTTTTCATTGCTGCTTTGTCAACAGCCAGCATTTTGTCTTCTTTCCACCAGGTGGAAGCATAGCGCTTTGTACCGTGTCTTGTTCTCAGTTCTAGCCTCGGCGGTATTCAGATGGTTAGGAGGGAAAAGATAAACACCATATTCAGGAGTATGAAATACTCCCTCACCTGGATGTCACAGCATCACATTTTAATCGTTTACTGGAGGATAATGAAAACAGTAGATTGGATAAGGTTCCTCCACAAGTGCTTTTAATTCCACTAAAGTCAACACAGGCCCATTATAAGATATACTGTATGAAAGTTTTTTGGCAGCTAGAAAAACTGCATAGGCCTGAACTCAGCTAACAAAATAACATCCAAATATTTTTAAGTGATTTTAAAATTAATAAATAGAAATAAACATTTGGTATCCTTAGCAAATTGTGAGAACATTGTCCTTGATATCTTGGTTAAACTGAGTCTTCCTATTTTCCAGGTGCAACATTGTACTGCAAGTTAATCAGTACAGGAATTTAAGTCGCTGCTACTATAATGGAAAAATATGAAAAATTAGCTAAGATTGGAGAAGGGTCTTATGGGGTTGTATTCAAATGCAGAAACAAAACATCTGGACAAGTGGTAGCTATTAAAAAATTTGTGGAATCCGAAGATGATCCTGTTATTAAGAAAATAGCACTAAGAGAAATACGTATGTTGAAGGTAGGTTAACGTTATGTATCTATAATATCATGGTATTGGGTGAAATATGTGTGCCAAAATTACAAAGAGTTTTAAAGTGATTATTTTTCCATTGGACTTAAATTCCTTTGTATCAGTAACTTTGGGAAATAAATTAATCATCACTTTGGACTTTGGCCTCTGATATTTAGCTGATATTATGAGTACAGCTATAGATTGTTAAAATATTGAAGTACTTCCCTTCTGGTTGGTAAATCTCCACTGCCCTGAGTCCCCTCATTCCCCCCAGCCGTGGCCTTCATCTGCCACAGCCCCCCTCACCCTTCTCATAAACCAGCAGATAAAAGAGCATCTTCTGGCACAGAGAGGCCCATAGGACTGTGCCATTGGGCCTGTAGGCATTGATGTGGATGGGTCCTGCCTGTGATCCACTCGCTGGTCTTAGACATACTACCACCCCAGCCTACCCCGTGGATACACATCTTACACAAAGCTTTTGTTGAAGTTGTTTCTCCTCTGATAGTATTTACATGTAAGATTCATAAGTTAATGTAAACATTTTCCTATCCTAAACATCTTACAGTTTTAGAACCATAAGAGACCTTGGAGATGCTTCTTATCAGCACCCTTATTTTATCAGAGAGGAAACTGAGTCGGAGGGCAGCACTTCTCAAACATTAATGTGCTTTGGAATCCCCAGGGGGCTTTGTTGAAATGCAGATTCTGAGTTGGGAGGTGTGGGGTTAGCCTGAGATTCTGCATTTCCAACAAAATCCCCAGTGTCACAGAAGCCACTGGTTCACAGATCACACTTGTGAGTAACAAAACTTGTTATTTCAAGAACACACAACTGACTTTTACCTTTTTTTCTTTTTTAAAGTTTGATCTAGGAGAGATGCTGTCACAGGGAAAAGCAAGCTTTTTATATATATATATTGATTTCAGAGAGAGGGAGGGAGAGGGAAAGGAAGAGAGAAACATCAATGATGAGAGAATCATTGATTGGCTGCCCCCTGCACACCCCACACTGGGGATCAAGCTCGCCACCTGGGCATGTGCCCTGACCTGGAGCCATCTCCTGGATCCTAGGTCAGTCGGTGCTCAACCACTAAGCCCCGCCCAGCCGGGCCCAACTTTTACTTTTGACATGTCATCTATTTTAAGGAAATCCCCAGAAATTGTTTTAAAAGGAGATTATAGTTAATTATCCTTTTCAAGTACTATCTGTAGCAGGTTTCCTCAGCTAGTGTTCTGTTTATAAGTAGATATACCCGGATTGTTCCAAAACACATCCATCATGATGAAAAGCAGTTCATTGTTACCTTGTAGCTAGCAGCCAGCTCCATCCCAGAGCTAAGCAAGGCACAGGGTGTTTCTAAACTGGGCAGTGGTTGTTTTCTAATAAACCACCCCCCCAAAGTCTTCAACTGAAGTTAGTGCTCAGGTAGTAGTACCTCCTAGGTTACCAGTTCCCCAGTTGGAGAATGAACTTTAAGGTTAAAATGTAGCCAGTTTCAACTCAGCTCAGCCTCTGGTGATGAGGTCTCAGAGGGTACATCTTTCCTGCTTTTGGTAGTTACACCCATGTATGCCCTGAACAGTTTCCTTATAGGATATACCTACCTTACCTTCCTCGTGTACTCCTGTTATTTAAATTTGATTGATTTCCCGCCTTCTTACTGCCTGTTTCACTTTAGACAAGTCACTTTTTCTGGGTTAATTTAATTGGCAAAGGAGATATAAATTGCTCTCTACCCAAAGACGGATTTCACCAGGTTGAACCTGGACGTTGCACCAGCTACAACATCTGGGAATCCCTTACTCTCCTGGTAGAGACACTTTTTCATTTCCATTCTACAGTTTTTGCTGCGGCACAAAGCAGCTGGATTACCTGTGTGGCCCGTTTCCTCCAGGGCTTGCCTTTCTGCCCTTTTAGGCAGTAAAACAGAAAAAAAATTGATTTGGTGCTCTGAGAATATTTTTAATGTATAATGGATTCCCTTTTCCCAAACTACTGAGCAGCAGACATGTTGTTGCAAGGTGATATTTTTTTGGTCAAGCCATGCTTACAGAAGCTGAGGTAGACGATGCTGGGTAAGTCCTTGTACTTGGGACTCTGTACTGGGCCTGCAGTATATTTATTGAGCTTTACTACATACACAAATCTGTGTTCTCGTTTTTTTTTCCATATCTTTCTGAGTAAATGGTATAGGGTTTGCAAAGGTGGTTTGTCCACTGTACTGGGAAAACAGCAAGGAGATGAGTTATAAGCAGGAGTGATCAGATGTCCGCGTCTAGTACAAGAGTCATCTGGTTAGCATCTTTCAAAAGTGTCCTGGTTTATATGGTTTATACGCTAAGTTATAGGGTCACCCTAGGTATAGACAGGGTAACCATGTCAGTTTGCCTGGGACAGCCCTGGCTTATACTCATTGCCCTAGTATGATGATAAATTATATAGCTGCTCTAGCGATGGATTTTCTTTTTTTAAATATGTTTTTATTGATTTCAGAGAGAGAGGAAGGGAGAGGGAGAGAGAGAAAAAACATCAATGATGAGAAAGTCATTGATTGGCTGCCTTCTGCACACCCCCCACTGGGGATCAAGCCTGCAACCCGGGCATGTGCCCTGACCCAGAATCGAACTGTGACCTCCTGGTTCATAGGTTGACACTCAACCACTGAGCCACACTGGCAGGGCAGTGTGGGATTTTCTTAATCAGGATTTTTCCTTTGGTTTATGATGGTAAACCTTGTGAAATGCTTCCATTTGGGAATAGAATTTTAACACATACACCATCTAAGCATAAGAGAGAACAACAAAGTCAAAGAACAGAGCTGGAAAATGACAAAGTGAAAACAGACTAACTGGGTGGACTCCTAGAATGGGCAGTTTAATTGGATTTGAAGGTTGAGATCTAGTATTTCTGAGAGCCAACACTAAAGTCCAGGCTGAGTTTAATCCAGCTGACATTTACATTAAAGCCACGGCAATATGTAAGCTAAATGGGTATTGGTGATTTTTATAGTCTTACACAATAATTCCATTTCCTCTTTTTTTTATTCAGGTGGTTTTATGATTCATATATTTAGAATTTTCACAAAATGCTCAAGTATTTTTTGTTTTAGTGCTTATATTTTAAGTCATACACTTTATTTGTTATCTCCAGAGAGGTTCAGTATAGTTACCATCTATTATGGGTACATTAGACAAATTCTTAAATTTTTCTTGCAACTTTAAGATTTCATGATTCTTGCTAAGGGTGTTTTCTCTTGTAAGTACCTGTAATAAAGTTCTCCACAAGAGATGCATAGAGAATGATAGGCAAGACCTTCTGTCCTTAGGATTTTAGGGGACCCAGGGAGAGACTCTTACAAGGAACAGATCACCAAGCCTTATGTTTCAATTCTTTTGCAGCAATTAAAACACCCAAACCTTGTGAACCTCATTGAGGTGTTCCGGAGAAAGAGGAAAATGCATTTAGTTTTTGAATACTGTGACCATACACTTTTAAATGAACTGGAAAGAAATCCAAATGGGTAAGTAATCTAGAAACTAAAGCTCTGTATAGTTAGGTCTCACTTTCATTTTATGTGGGATTAACTATAGCAAATTCAAATCTGAGCCACAGTTCCTCTTTCCACCCAGATGCATCTGTTGGCTACCCCTCGCCAGTCTCAGGATGTGCTCAAAGGGCAAACAAGTATTAACCTAGAGTAAAATTAATTAGGAAGACAGATCTGCACATATAAATCACAGTGCATTTTGAGGCTAAATTATGTATTGGATTGTCTGAATTCAAGGAGTGAACCATGGTTCAATATTAGGGAATATATTCATATAAAGGTTAAAGGAGAAAAAAATACATTGTGAGTTGGTAAAATCTGAAAGGCAGTTGATAAATTCAGCACCCTTTCCTAATTTTTTTAAAAAGCCTTAGCAAACTAGGATTAAAATACTTTCTTAGCGTGCATGCAGACACACACACACACACCCTCCCTCTTCAAATCAACAGCTAATTTTATACTCAGCATCAAAGAAACCACCATTAACGTGAAATACAAGACAAGGACATCAGTTGTCACCAGTGTAATGTAACATTGTTCTGAGAGCTCTAGCTAATGTAATAACCAAAATTAATAGAACATAAAACTTTTGGAAACAAGATTAAATTGTCATTATTTTCATTACATTTTGCAAAAATCTAAGAGAATTGCCTAAAGAGTTATTATAATGAATAGAATTCGATATAATGATTATAACACTCCAAATTTCACACACAAAATTTAACAGCTTTTGTTTCAATCAGTACTTTAGAAAATCTAGTGGAGAAGAATCCCATTTAAATATCAACAAGAACAAAAAAATTAGGAATAAAGAGAGAATTGTTAGACTCTACATAAATTCAACTACAAAACTAGGTACATAAAAGATTTTGTTTAAATGAACATATATAGGGTGTCCCAAAAAATGTGTACATATACTTTGAATAATTATAAAGGCAGTGTTTATTAAAATACATTTAATTTTCAAAATTGAGCTATCACCTGTTAAAATATGTATATATTTTTGGGACTCCCTATATTTCTGGATGGAAATAGTCCTTATTTTAAAGATACTGCCTCCTGATCTATCTGTTGCTCAGAAATCTAATCAGAATGTCAGTGGGATTTTTTTAACTTGAAAAAGATTAAATCAAATTAAAGAGAAGCCCAGCCAGCGTGGATCAGCGATTGAGCATCAACTTAGGATCCAGGAGATCGTGGTTCGATTCCTGGTCAGGGCACATGCCTGGGTTGTAGGCTCTATCCCCAGTATGGGACATGCAGGAGGCAGCCGATCAATGATTCTCTCATCATTGATGTTTCTATCTCTCCCTCTCCTTTCCCCTCTTTTCCTCTCTCTGAAATCAATAAAGATACATTTTTTTTAAAAGAAGAAAGGGAACTTTAACTGCCAAATATTAAATCATGTTAGTTTTAGAAATTCTCTTTGACAAAAAGTACCATAAAACTAAAAAAGAAATTACAAATTGGGTAACTTATTTGCCAAATGATGAATTAAAATAATTTCATATCTACATAGGTAGATTTTGCAAGTCTAAATTTTTTTGTCTTTTTTTTTTTTTTACTATATACTTATTTTAGAGGGAGGGAGGAGGGAGGGAGGGATAGCAACATCAATGATGAGAGATCGATCCCACAACCAGTGCATGTGCCCTGACCGAGAACTGAACAGTGAGCTTCTAGTTCATGAGCTGACACTCAGCCACTGAGCCACACCGGCCGGGTGCAAATCTAAATTTTTAAAAAGATTAGCACCCAGTTAGAAAATGTAGTCATTCACAAAAGAAGCTTAGTGAATCCTGCTGTTGTGCCAGGCTAGGTGCCAAGGATCCAGCAGTGAGCAGAACACACACAGAAAAGTTGTCAGCCTTATGGAACTTACATCCTGTGGGCATGAAAAGAAGGGAAAGTAAGCTATACGCCTAGGAAAACGTGTTTATCCTACCTATTAATCAAAGAAATTTAAATTTTTAAAATAAGGTACCATTTCTCACCTATCAAATTGGCAAAAGTTTTTTCAAAACTCAACGTACCCAGTATTGTTAAAGTCAGGAAATCAGGCACTGGCATTCACAGCTGGAGAGAGTGTGTGTATTTGGGCAGTTCAGCAGTATGTATGAAAATCACTTAAACTGTTCTCATCCTTTGACCAAGAAATTCCATTTAAGAAAGCAATCAGGTGCAAAAATTTTTGCATAAGAATGTTCAACATGTCATTATTTACAACAGAAAATATTGGAACTTACCTAATTTAAAACAGTAAAGGTTTGTTAAATGCATTTGCTGTCTCCATACAGTGGAACACTAGGCATCCAGCCCTTTAAGAGCAAGCTATAAAGAATAGTTAATGTTCCTAGGGAAATTATTCATGAAAGAGTATATGAAAAAATGAGGTTACAAAGTGTCATTGAGGGGTGGTGGGAGAGGAGCCTGGAGAAGACTTGGCATCTCCATGCAGTGCAGCTAATTCAAGTGAGATTATTAAGGCGTCCTCAGCAAGGCAAAACCAGCCTCTTCACACTGCTGCTAGTGAGAAGGAGCGTTTGCTGCAAGTTCTCAGTTGTATGAATACTCCCAAGTGTCACATTTCCATTTTTGAAGGATATCTTTTTCTCAGTTAATTAACTGAGAAATTAATTAAATTGCATAAATTCGATCTGTGTTGTCATCTAGCATCCTGCAAGACTATTCTCAGCGTCTGAGTTTTCAGTCATCTCATGGTAGGCCCAGTGGGTCCATGGACTGAGTCCTACAGATACGAGAAATGAGGAGCTCTTTTAGAGCAATCACTGGAACTCTTGGTTTCCTAACTATGCCTTAAACCACACTATTAAAGCCCTAAACCTGTCCCTTGTTTCTTTTTCTAGGGAGGTGAGAAACAGCCAGCCCACCCCACTTTTATTTCTTTCCCATATGTCTTATGTTCTATCACACTCAGTCCAGCAAAGCCTTGCCTTGAACAGGCATTTCATTCTAGATGACCACAGGGATTATTTAAACACTTGTTTTATCACTGGGAGCCCATTCATTAGTGTTCCAGCCTCTAATGGTAATTAGAGTCTTCTGCCTTCAGAACCAGCTAATTCATATAGCCAGTCCTAAGTTCCAAGGCCTTGACTTTGTTTCCCGTATCCACTCAGGTATCATATTCTGAACCTTTCAGAATTCATCAACTGAATTCACTCTAGCTAGTTTAAGCAAAAAGGGATTTATTGCCGGGTGTTCGTTTATAAAATTTCTAGGAGTGCTAGAGAAACAAGGTTCATTGAGCACCTATTACTGTTCTAGGCCCCAGAGCCTCATTAATGGACAAGATCAAGGCCTTGCAGAATTACATGTCTTTGAAGAAAAATAAAGCACACTGAGGAATTAGAGAATACCCAGGGAGGGGAGTAGAAGGAACAATAAATACAAGGATTTGGAGGTGTAGGCAGCATGGCATGTTCGAGAACAGCTGAAACTAACGGGCTGAACTCGAGTGTCCGTGAGAGTAAGGTAGGAGAGGAAGGTGGGGAGAGAAATCATGAAGCTGGTAGGCCGTAGTAAAGGTTGGATTTTATTCTAGGATAACAAAGGTTTACTGAGAAGGACTCAGTTTGTCTTGGGTACTGATCATGAAGTCAAATTTTCCATATTAAGGTACATAACAAACTAAAAGATAATGAGCTCTGATGTCAGCATCAGGGTTCCCTGAGTAGCTAAGAGAGCAGCAGTCCTTGAGCAATCCAGCCTGAATTCCCTGGTCACATCAACCTTATCAACCCCTTCAGTCCCTAACTAGGATGTCTAGTCTTTGTTTTCAGGCCTTCACTATTACATTCTGTATTTGTTTTTACACTCACTCAGAATATGATATTTAAACATTAAGTATCATTTGATTTGTACAGAAGGTTTTATTCCACTCCAAATGCTTTGAAAAAATGCTGCCGGTGGCTAAATACTGTTGCAATGCTCTGTCTTTCTGGAATGAGCACTGTATGAGTCTGTATTCCCTTTGATAACTCTCTTCTCTTTGTAAGATCGGTGGTATTCGTTTGTAGTTGTTATTTTGTATGTTGTTTTGCCCTCTTGGAAGCTAAGGATTCTGTTTTTCACAGAGCCATGACACTTCCTTTAAGACGCTGGTAAACACCCCTCTTTCACAGCCATAGCTCTGACATTACTTCATGCCTAATTCTGTGTATTAACACTAGTAACCAGGGTTCTGCCCCTTTCTGAACCCTCCCCCTACCTTGTTTCCCAATTCGAGTATTTCATCTCCTGTACATGTAGTACTTAGGTCCCACCCAGCATTCTACTGCCACATGAATGGGGCCATGTGCTACTCTTGCCATTCTCTCCCAAGGATGAAATCCATTTCCATTCCCTCCTCCACCATCACCCTACTGTAAATCACGAAATTCCACCTAGATTATTAGCCTCCTAATTTTGCCCCCAGAAATCCATTCTCCTTATTACGTCACTTGCCTTCTTGAGCCCTGTCAATGACTTTCCTTTAAACCTAGAATAAAATGCAAAGTCCTCACCAAGATTCATAAGGCCCTCGTGGTTTGGCCCTGGCAGCCTCACCAGTTCACTCATGCTTTCGCCACATTGGCCGCCTCATTGCTTTCCCATGCTCCCATTCTTTCTCACCTCAGGGCCTCTTGCTGTTGGGGGAGGGGGTTCTTTTTGTCTTTGTACGTGGTCTCATTCCCACCTGTTGGCCTCATCTGATCTCAGACCCTCATCTCCTCGACCTATGTAGATGTTAAACCCAGGCTCTTAGGGATAGACTTCTCAATAAACCTATGGGATGTTACTCCATTTTCACACATGAGGAAGACCGAAGGCACGTATGACTTGCCCGAGGTTATACAACTAGGAGACAGCACAGCTGAGGTTGGAACTCTCTCATAGTGCTCAAAATAGCTATACTATTCTTTCTGACTCTTATTTGAAAATTTTAAGCAGCACTGTCTCGGGCTTGGCTCTAGGCAAACGGAGAGGATAGAGCTGTACCAGAATTCAGGACAGGAGACAGAAACCACTCGAGAAATTTCAAGTGGGAAGGGATCTGCTACTGAGAATTAGGTGCTTTCACAGTACTAATAATTAGAGGAGCTGCCGGCAGACCACTGATGTCAAGGGCACGTCACCATAATTGGGACCCGAGATCAGGAAACTGCTCTAAGGAAAATACTCCCATATGCTCTTTGCTGTTTTTCAGCATTTGCCCCAGCCCCACACGGTGACGTCTTGTTGCTGGTACCCCGCCAGGGTCATGTACAGTCCATACCCCCAATTCTGGAAGGCCAGCTACACCTGCATGATTAGTTCAATTTTGAAAAGTGATCTAAACATATGTAAATATCCAGATACGATAAAATAGTAAATCTGAGTGATGGGTGTGTTTGTAATATTAGATAATTTTAAATTTTTAATTAAGAAAACAGACATTTGGTTAAAGGTATCTCGTTCAGATTTTTTGTAATGTGCAAGCGCAGTCCCATCTCATGAATAGGGTTGAGAAACGCCACACTGAGAAAAATAGTTGCAGCTTATACGCAGACTCAGAGAGACATTGAGTCATTAATCAGTTTAGAAGGGAGTAAACCAAAAAGGTGGTAAAGGCAGTGAACAGGAAATACACAAAAGAAGAAATGTAAGGCCAATCATAATGTGAAAACACTTCCAAGGCACCCTTTGCACCGTGCTTGTTGACCATCACAAGCCCCACTCACTCCATTTCTTTTCTCCCTCCAGCTCCTGTAACACCACCCTAGGTGTTTTTTAATTTCCTTCTTAACTTTTTCCTAGAGTTGCTGATGGAATGATCAAAAGTGTATTATGGCAAACACTTCAAGCTCTTAATTTCTGTCATCAACATAACGTAAGTGACATTTTCTAGTGCATTTGTTAATTCTTCATGATGACTCTTATAAGTAGCTCAGGGGTGTCTTTGAAGAGCTGAAAATAGAGGGAAAGTAAGAACCAGAGAGCAAAACAGAAGAAAGTTTCCGACATGAGGAAAAACAGTGCCCTTTCCAATTTCTATAAAAACCAAATTTCTAATTCCTTATGAATTAAAAGTTTATATAAATCTAATGTTTCATTTTGCCTCAGTACTGATTCCTATGATTATTTTTAAATTGGATTAAAATAAGTTTTCAGTAGTGTAATCCACCATGGCACTTGGTTGTCTTTTTATTTTTTAAATATGTTTTGTTACTTTATTGATTTCAGAAAGAGGGAGAGGGAGAGAGAAAGAAACATCAATTATAGGAGTCATTGATCAGCTGCCTCCAGAACGCCCCCTACTGGGGGTTGAGCCCGAAACCATCAAACCCATGAGCTCCTGATTCATGGGCCGATGCTCAACCACTTAGCCACACCAGCTGGGCTGTTTTTATATCTCTTAAGTCTTTTATCCCCTACCTTTTAAAGAAATTTTTCCATCTTTAATTTTTTTAGAGTCCTAGTTCTCAAACTTGAGCATGCATCACAATGCCCAGAGGTTTTGTTAAGACAGTTTTCTGGGCCCACCCCCAGAGTGTATAATTCCATAGGTCTGGGGTAGGACACAAGAATTTGCATTTCCAAGCATTTTCCTTGTTGATTCAGAAGCTGCTGGTCCAAGAACCACCCTTTGCATACTGCTGTGTTACTGAAATCATTCTGGCCAATTGCATCCTATTTGTAATTAAACTTGTTCTCTCACCTATATTTCCTGCAAATAGGTCTTTATATCTATAGGCTTGATCATTTCCAGGTTCATTTTTAGACAAGAATACTATTATGGAACCCTTAAATGTTAATCCCGGTTTCATAAATGGGTTGCCTAGAAGGTAGGATATCAAAGTTAAGTGGATTTATAGGACTTTTAAGAGGCCTGAAAAGGTTTAACAGTTAGCAGTGATAGTTTCAACAATAAATTAAAAAACAACAACAGTTAACAGTGACTAAATTGAGATAATTTGAAACAAGCTTCTATTACCAGTGCCATTTTTGTGACTGAAAATAAGGATTCAACATGTTTTCTTCCTAGATAGCTGTTATGGAAGCAAAGAGAAATTATTTCAGAATTGTCAGTTTGACAGCAGTACTTAAAGGGACTGAAAGCACAGCAGAGAAGTGAGGCAGAGGAGCTGATGACTCTGATGCTTAATCTGGAGACTGTCAGTGGTCACTTGCAACAACAGTGTTGTTTCAAAGATGAGCTAGTTCATGTGAAGGTGCTTTGAAAAGTACAAAGCTCTGTATGGGGGCTGAGTTACAGAACAAGAGCACCGTCATTTTATCTATTTGGTGGTTTGGAGGGAGAATGAACTAGAAAGCCAAAGTCCTGAAGAACAGGGCCTGAGGTGTTTCCCCTGGGGCCTCCGCACACAGAACAGCCTCTTCTAGATGAGTGGTGAGGGAGGCGCACCCGGCCGGCCTGCATCCATGCCCAGCTTAGCCCTCTCTGCCAGCAAGGGGCACCTGCTCCATTCAGCATCATTATGACGATGCAGCACCGTAAGTCTCCACGTGTAGAAGACCAAGGGGAGCTTCTCTGGGGTGACAGTGCCTCACAGCAGAGTCCTGCTCTCCCGGGAGGGACTCCAGCAGCTTGGTGTGGTCCTCAGGAGAGCTGCCCGTCGGGGCAGGTTGGCTCACTGTTGAGGAGGTGGAAGTGAAACTCATCCCTGCAGGCCAGCTGCTTTGGTAGCTCTTGCTAAGTGGGGGACCATGCACCCCAGCTTATCCAGGACAGCTGTGGTTTGTGCCTGTTGTCCTGGCATAATTATCAATAGAGCTTTTTTCCACAACTTCTGGTTTAGAGGATAATATCATTCCAATTACAAGTGAGTTTTGCTTCTCATTCAAATGTTTTTCCAGTTTCTCAAATCTGCGATACTTATTCAACCTGAATAGAATTCTTGGGTGGCAGTAGTTCTTATTATAGGTACATTTTGTCTAATCTCATCTGGGGTTTTACAATTTCTTTTACAATGTCATCTATTTTCTTACAATTAAAATAGAACCCATTAAAAGCTGGAAGAAATCATTGATTATATTACCTTCTCCCCTCACCCAAAATCAGTTTTCATATCCAACAATTATTTCTTCACTGATGTAACAACATTTTGATTTTTTTCTTCTGGTGTGATAAGTGAAAAATGGCCAATTTAAGTTATTTTAGAAAAATGAAGGAAAACCAAATTTGTTTTTATCTCACAGGCTATTTATTTAAAGTAATAGTTAATGTTTTTTATGCTTTGTCATTTCGATGGCTTAAAGAAATAATCAAATATTTCCTTACAGTGTATTCACAGAGATGTAAAACCTGAAAATATTCTGATAACTAAGCAAGGAGTAATCAAGATCTGTGACTTTGGCTTTGCACGAATTCTGAGTAAGTAGCCACTTTTTACTAACTTACCCCATTCAGATGATTGTGAAACAACGTAGTTGAAAACCTTACTTTAGATATTGAATGTATGTGAAATGTTATAGTGTAACTATTCAGAGAGGAGAATCTCACTTTCACCTTTAGTTGCTACATCAATTTGCACTCAACTCCACTCCATGCAACTAGAATTTATTGGTTGTCACATTTATATGCTTTGCCCCATAGGCAAGGAAAAGATATGAGACACATTTCTGCTCTCTGTGCTCTTATAATCTGAAGTAAAAGAAACAAGAATAACGTAGGGTGATTGGGAATGAAGTACAAAAGTGTAGGTGCAGACGGTTCCCCAGAGGGAGATGGTAACGTGGGCTGGAGTGGCTGGAAAAGAACTTCACGGAGCTGGTGAGACTAGAGAGTAAACTGACAGTTAAAGAGAGAATTCAGAGACAGTGCTAAGAAAAAGGAAATCATCTCAGACAGGGAGGCACCAAAGGGAAGGGGGACAAATCAGTGTTTCTCCCCAGATCTAGAACAGTGCACCAGGCTGGCAACATGCACATCTCAGGGTGGTGTGTACATAATCGTATCCTGATAGGACCAGGGCATAGGTGACTTGACAGTGCATTGGAAGTTGGTTTAGACAAAGTTACACTAGAAATTCCCAATCCCACCACCCTCTGTTTGGGATCATATAGATGTTAACTGCTAAAGCGCCTTTGGAAGTAGAATGCACAGTGTAACCATTTCCTCTATCAGCCTCTCTGCATGAACTGTTAGGAGCATGTGGCCTTTGAGAGTTTTTGAAGATTAACCTCAAGGCCTGACCTGCTCTTGGGGGTAGTTCACATGTTGAGAAAACTTGACCCACCTCACCTGATCCATGCGTTTGCAGTTCCAGGAGATGCCTACACTGATTATGTCGCTACCAGATGGTACCGAGCTCCTGAGCTTCTTGTGGGAGACACTCAGTATGGCTCTTCAGTCGACGTTTGGGCTACTGGTTGTGTTTTTGCAGAGCTCCTGACAGGCCAGCCACTCTGGCCTGGAAAATCAGATGTGGATCAACTTTATCTGATAATCAGAACACTGGGTAGGAGCTGCATCTTATGGCTCACAGAGCTGCTAAGTTGTTATAGTAGTAGCATGTCACTGTAATGGCCAACAGGAGGAGCTTTCTTGCCTCTCCAAGGTGCTGCTCAGGGTGGTTGTTCTGGGTTGTAGCCAGAACCCAACCCTTTCCTCAGTATGTAGAGCCGTTACTCCTCACTGAGGGGTTTTCAGATCTTTTCCAAGTCAAGCCACTTAGCCATGGAATAAAGTACACATTTCCTTTTTCTTTTGGGCTGAGGTAGGACCCAGAATGTGAGGCAGCTATAGACCTTATTATTATTATTTTTTTAATATATCTTTATTGATTTCAGAGAGAGGAAAGGAGAGGGAGAGAGAGAGAGAGAGAGAGAGA